ATTGAAGGTCACACAAACACACACACTTCATAAACAGTGACGATTGAGAATCCGACCAGTTAGTGTGTGTGACCTGCACTTGTTTTTGCACAATAAACAATGTGGTAGCACTTTATTTTACAGGCCTTTTTCGCAAGAGCATACTATGTCCTTATTGTAGTACTAACTGGTAATAACTAGGTACTAACCCTAAACCCTACATTACTCTGTACTTTTGTGGGTAAGTGCACTGTAAGTACATCGAAAGTGCACATCCTGTAAAATAAAGAGCAACAAACAATGTTTTGAGACTGTTTTGACACCATCACGCCGTCCAAATGAGGCAGATGTCACCGTAACGCAAGAGGTCATGAGCGCAATTTGACACCGTTGAAGAAGAAACTCATTTGAACTGATTGCTTTTGCTCTCATGAGAAATTTCACCTAATGTTTTTCATTTTCTTCTTGGATTCCTGTTGCCGCCTTTAGAGCAAAAAATAAAACATTTAATTTTGAGATAAAGTTTAAAATAAGAAATTAAGTCACATTGGGGAATATAAAGTCACAAATGTGAGGTATAAATGAACAATTACGAGAAATTTTGTAGAAATTACTAAAAAAGTAGCAGTTACGAGAAGTAGCCTACAGTTGTTGCAATTTTGGGATATAAAGACGTAATTGTGAGAAAAAAGTTGCAATTAAGTTGCATTTATGAGAAAAGTATCTCAAAATTACAACTATTTCTCTCAATTGACAAAGTTAAAAACAAGAGAAGTCAGAATTGTGACTGACAAATGTGAGGTATAAATTCACAATTATGAGAATAAAGTCACGATTGAGAGAAATATTTGCACATTTGTGGGATATAAAGTAGAAATTACTAGGAAGTGTTGCAATTGTGAGAGAAAAAACTCGCAATTACAAGACAAATTTATTAGAAATGATAAAACAATTTAAGTTAGGAGAAATATAGTAGTTGCTATATTTGGGTCGCAAAGTCAAAATTGTTAGAAAAGTAGCAATTGAGAAATAAAGTTGCAATTATGAGAAATAAAATAGAAACTACAAGAAAAAGTAGCAACTGATAGAAACGGGCTTTCAGTATTAACGCATGCAAAGCATTTATCAAGGAGGCCAGAAATTGGCGGTGTAACAGAGCTCCGTTACAGAAGGAACTGGTTCATCATTTTCTTTACAGGCTGTCGAGAGTGACAAGGACAGCTTGCTTGGCACAGTGTCAACCAGAAATGCTTGTCAATATCACGAGTGTATGAACGCATCTGCACTTCAATGCACCACACTTTTAGAGACGAGAGAGAGAGAGAGAGAGAGAGAGAGAGAGAGAGAGAGAGAGATTTCATGACTGTTGAATTCTGGGAAGGGAGCAGAGATGTTGCTCTCACTGTGGGATTTCGCAGCTGTGCTCCTGTCCACTTCCTATCATGTCAAACACACAACCTTAAGTCTAGTGGCCCCATAACATATTTTGTGACACTGAAGTCACACTTAAAAATGTCTGAATATTATTAAACTTAACCAACTAGTGTCATTTTTAACTTAAGTGTGGCTAAAGTGTCTAGAAAACTTTTGGGGCCATCGAATGACCTCACAACCTGCCATTAGGCTTATACAAAACGTTTCAGGCCCCATGATCTCAGCCGTTTCCTGTTAGCACTGCTTAGTCTTGTCTTGCATATCAGACGCTTTAGGTGGACAGAAGGCCTTTGACATTTCAAGGACATCCATGATAAGCAAATCTGCCCAACACTCATAAAAACACTTTAGGCATGTCTGAAGTTGTGTAAATAGTGTTGTCGGACATTTTGTAGTGATGTTCAATTTGTAAATTAACAACTAAATTTCCCAAACTATTCATTCTTTTATACCTACAATGCACTCTGATTTGTAGTTAACTTGCTGAACAATCCAATGGGGAAAAGACTGCTTGTTACGAGTCTGCACTTTTGTGACGTAATGCCGCTTTGACTGTCGGGCAGTCGTGGCCTAATGGTTAGAGAGTCAGACTGGTAACCTGAAAGTTGCGGGTTCGATTCTCAATACAGGTAGGAAATGACTGAGATGCACTTGAGCGAGGCACCAAACCCCCAATTGACCCTTCGCAGGGAGCTTGATTGACAGGTGATCTGACCAATCATACTTCGCCATCCGCCATTTTGTCCGATAAAGCAGTCAGGAGAGTTAGTAGATTAAGATGGGAGGATTTGAACTTGAAAAACGGAATGTACTGATGCCTTTCTGCGGTTAAAACAACATTCCTTCTTATGTTCATTCATGTTTATTTGATGCTATAAATGAACTAGAAGGAAGAGATGATCGGATCACGAGCAGCTTTAACTGATGCTCTACAGCGATCTGTCACGACACATTAAAGAGCCACAAAACGGTATTTATTGTTTAAATTTCTTTTAAAAAAATGACCAAATTTGAAAGGTGAGACTTTGTTTAATATGTTTAATATCAAAAGTAACCGAAAAGTAACCTGGTCTGTTCTGTCTGTCAGCGTATTGTCAGTCCGCAATGTATTTTTCACTGCGTGCGAACATGGTGAGTGTGTGTGTGAGAGCAGCGTAGCTTGTCGGACATAGCGACAGTAACTAAGGGGGGCGGGTCTTTGCGAACGGTCAACTGCTCCCCGGACGCCACAGCAAAATGGCTGCCCACTTTTTTCACTTTTTTTAACAGTCTGCTGCAGAGCTCGCTTCATGTTCGGGCGGTGAATATCAGCCGCAAAGGGCGTCACTACTTACATGACATATTTACTGTATTTTTCTGCAGAAGTGTTGTGGGTGTGAAGACTGCAAGTGTGTGTGAAACTTTTGATTACCTGATGGGACACAATTATAGTGTTGTAAAAATGCAAGTGTTTGCATAGTTTCATTTTGATTTTCAATCATTTGCATTTTAAAATAAACTTCCAAATGTCTATTCAGTCGTCCCTATGTTGCAGACAACACTATTTAGTAATTGTGGTGCTTCTAATTAAGTGATAAAAAGCAGTTGCAAATGTACAGAATATACACTCATCTTTGCACCAATAAAATGTGCAACACTTTGTTTTACTAAGCGAGTAAAACGTGAGTTTCTGAACACGGTGCATGATGGGATATGCTTAGTGTGCGTTAAGGGCACTGAGCTTTGGCGCTTTTAAGACCCGGGACAGTCTTGCGCACATGCATGCGCTCTCAAGTGGCCAAAACCACAAGTGTGGGTATTTGGACAGGCCCGGGACCACCCTATGGTCTCATGGACTTCATGATCGAGCAGTGGCCATTTGGGACAGGACCTAAGTGTTCATCTTTCTTGACTAATTTCCTGAGGAAGTATTATTGTAAACCAAAATGATTTTACACAGAGTAAACTATAATTTCGTGGATGATTCAAGACTAGTATTCGGTTATCACCTTATTTTCCAAAGCAAGGTACATACATGTATAGAGCACTTTCCAGTGCACATTTACATCAGCCACCAAATTCACTCACTCATTTTCATTCCATTCTTATAGCGACATGCACCATATAGAAAATTAGTGATGGCGTAAGTGATTCTGGACCCATTTCCCACCTGATGCAGCTGCATAAGGAATCAATGTGGTCTGCAATGCAGGATTATTTGACCCCTCCTTTGGGAGTTTGTTGTTTTTGGAAGGGTAAATGAAAGGGAGCACCCCACGCCTCCTCCAAACTGTTTCCTCCTCTTAATTTTTCTCCATCTCAAAGGGCCCTAAAGCGGGAGAGGGAGAGATGGAGGTTGCACCTATAAAACACCAGGGCCGGATGAGGAATGGCCTCCTCCGCACTGAGGGAGGGTGCAGTCCCAGAGCTGCTGCTCTCTCTTGTGGGAAGTGCACTATAAATCTCTGGTCTCTTATCCGGCTGGTCTATTGATAAGCCCTGCACTGCTGGAGAACAAGAAAATACCCCGAGAGGAGAAGAGAAAAGAGGTAAAAGAAAGGGACTGAGGGGGTTAGGAAAACATCTTGCACAGTAATCCCTTTTTTCTATTATATTAAAAAGTTTGGGATCAAAGTCATCTTATTCTCCTTTTTAGGGAGACATTTAACAACATTGACAGCCATATGACATGCTATACTTAATCTAAACAAATTATGGGTGCATTATTATTATTGCACATTCTTATGGTCAAGGATTAGTTCAAATCCCTAACCCCAAGTAGCAAACTTCAGGGCTTAACTCAAACTGTTAGTGCTACGCACATGAATGATACTTCAAATCGAACCATGCAATTGCTTTTCAAAGCAACTGAACATCTTAAAACCAAGCGAAACCTTGCTGTCCAGACTATTGTTTCATGGAGATTTATAGAGATGCCTAAATCAGGCTCAGGAGAGCTTGGGCAGAGTCCCAAAGCAGCACTGGTCACCCGTCATCCCGGAGGCTGGGGAACGGGCTAAATATGTTTTTACATATCCAAGCAGAGTCGTACGTGTTGTAGCAAGGACACTGCAGCTCATAAGGAAGCATGCTCATACGCACGTGCGCGCACACACATTGGCGTAGTCGGGCCTGCTCCGCAATCACTTCAGTGTGATGAAGAGCCTCTACAGGAGTCTGTATTAATGGCAATGTGACGGACTGAGGCAGGGCAGACAAGCAGACGCACTCGAGCGAAATTGAAGGAGCACTTGACATTGGTCTGACACAGATTGTTTGAAGATCAGAAGGGATAACGACGGGCCACTTTTACAAGACAACTGAAAAGTGTAACCACCCAATATTGTATGATACCTAACAATCAGAGATTATTTTGACCGATACTGATATTATTTTTAATATTATGGCCAATACAAATATGATGGCTGACAGTAAAATAAATAAATACATATACAAATAAAGTGTGTTTTTATACCTTTTTATATCGGCCAATTCAGCCCAATGACATGAAATATCATCCGCTAATATTGGCCGGTTCCAATATGGAAACCGATAAGTTGCGCATCTCTACTAACAATGCAAAGTACAAAACATGTCAGCACAAAAAGTGATATTAAAACTTTATTTACAGTGTTTAAATAACATCAAAACATCACACAATGTCCAACGATGTGAAGCTAGTGTGGGCACGGAATGAAAAGAAACAAATGATGGACTACATTCCTGCAACATGACTCAAAGGAAGAGATTGATGAATGATGGGAGAGAGAGTGATAGAGCAAGGTTCTGAGCAGAGCTTGGAGCAGTGGGACCAACGCAGCTCAGCACGTGCATGAGCCGTATTTGCATGGACTAGTCTTTCCCAGAGCGTAGTTTGGCATATCCATGTGTCTTTGTGTTTGGAAACGGCAAAGGCATATCCAAAGAAAAGATGGCATTTACATAACATGATCCTGTACATTTGTTTGGTCATCTCATTGGGATCCACCTGAAACAGCAGAATGGAAAGAGTTAGTTCTGTTTGGGAGCAGGTCCAGGACAACACAAGCAGAAGATAAATCAGTCTCTTCCCACACTGAAGACGACACATGTGGCAGGGAACGTTTCCAATGCTGAAATGGATCAGTATCATTTTTCCTATACGAGGAAGAACATCATTTGGGTTTCTGGATTCATTCCAGAGCTGATGTAAACATGGGAAACTATTTATAAGGTTGAAACATAGGAAAACAGAAAAAGGATTAAGTTGTTGGTTCTAGGACATTTATTGGATGGTTTTTTTTTTACCTTTAGGGGTACAACAGCTTATCACTGAGGTAGTACCCTCAATGGGACATCATTGTACCTTTATTTGCAACTGAAAAATTCATAGTAGTTCTTAAATGATTCATATTACTACTCTAAGGTACTAATTTTGCATCTTTTAGGGGCAGATAAGGTACTTTAAGTGTACTGTCCCAGTGACAAGCTTACATTTTTTTTTCAGTGTACAAGGACTGCATTTGACTCTCTCTGGCCTGATATTTTTAAGTCAAACACTGATAAACCTGGTCAGTGACAGGTCTCGACTGAAAATGCCTGTGCATTCAGTCTAGACTTGCTTTGTGAAACTGTCCCAAGGAGATAGAAGAAAGACTAGGAGATGTGGCAAATGAATGATGTGGGATTGAGACCTTGTATCTTTGGAGGCTTATGCTGGAACAATGTAAACACAGGAGAGCAAGTAATGGTCTCCACATGGGTCCCATTCCACATAACACCCCTGTCACCGCCATTACCCCTGCTGCAGCTAATGTTAACCAGAGAACCGAACTGGCAGGAAACAGAAACAGATAGGGGAAAGGCACAGATATAAGTAATCGTCTAGAACGCGGCCACTATTTTCTTTTGGATACGGGGATGTCTGCAAGAGCGTGTGTGTGGGGTACCAGGACAAAATTCAACAGATGCAGCCCTGGTGCCAGCCATAATAAGTGCAATCTCACGACCTCGCCGTGTTTTCCCAACGTCCTCTCGGCACGTTTGACATTTAATCGCTCTCTCCCTAGAGCAGGGAGCCCCTTCTGGGGAACAAGAGAGTGAGGGGTGGTGGACGGGGGCTTAGATCAAGCTGAAGGTGTCCTTGGTCTGCCAGTTTGCTTTGATACCTCAGGAGGTCACTTGAGATCACCATTGACCTTGACTCAGCGCATTAAGAAGTCTTTGAAGAACTTTCAAAATATGCCACTCACCCATACGCCCCTTGTTCTGTTCTCTCGACGCTGCTGTATGACAAAGTTCATAACCCTCCTGTCCAACCCTGGATAGATACGTTTTTATAGCTTTGACAAATAGATCCTCACCTGGTGTCTTCACGGAGAGAGCTGCGTTCTTCTGTAGGTCTCATTTGTTATCGAAAGACGGGTGAGGCGTGCCCCGTAGTAGTCCACGATGTAATCCGACCCGTCTGATGGACCCACAATCTATGCCAGAGCAAACAAAATGAGTCTCAAATGTCAGAGCGGCGTAGGGAGACATACATAACAATGTAATCTTTCACCAGACAATTACATGATTCCACATTACACAATGATGAATACCAGGTGGGCTGGTTGGGTCTATCGTCCTCCTCAGATGGCTCATGCTCATGCTCATGCAATTGAATTATAAGACAGTAATGCCGAATTGGAAGCAATTTAAGTTTAACCCCAGGCAGTGCTGTAATTGAGGTTGCTTTCTGAGTCCTAGTGAGGAGGAGTGTCCCAAAGGACAGTCCCCAGATCAGAGTTTCAGCAATGAGCCTAGAGCCCAAACTGGGGCCCGTGCCAGTTCTGAGATCAGCTTCTATACGAGCAACATGCTTGGACTGACGCACAAAGACTTCCTGCAGGCGTGCGTGCCCAACACTTGGCTATGCCGGCTCTGCTCCTCTCCATTCTGGGATGGGATGATAATGAGAACACACATCTGGTGGAGGGAGTAAACCCCCACGAAACACAGACACTTTTCTACCATATCAAGATTAGCGCTCATCTGGCAGTGGCCCAATACAAGCTATTTCCTCTCACAACGGTATTGGCCGAGAGTTGTCTAGATCGGTGTGGTGGTCGACTAGAGTTTCTTGAATACACACGTTCATCTTCTCTCATACCATTAACATTCGATCCATCAAACTCGATTGATTCCTCCACTCTAAAACCTTAAGTTTCACTTTGCCGTTATATTACATCACTATAGGTGCCGAATTGTGGCACGACTCGCAGGAAGGAATATTGATGAATATAAATTACAGTAACATGTCCCAGGTGTTTATTTATTAGTTCTCAAAGATGCATTTCCCGAACGACACAGCTCTTAGTGAAGGTAGTTTGGTGTATAAAATATGGGGTTTTTAGAAAGGAGCGGTGAGCGCAAATGGGGTCCCGAGGGAAGGGGATACTCTTTATCAAAAGTGTCACAATTTAAAAACGAAGAGGCACGACAGTCGACAGCTAATTGAGAATGTTAGCGCGTGACAGCTTTGGCTGCCAGAGGCACTTCTTAAAAGCATTGCTCTCACAGGGCCTTCAATAAGACATTAAGAGAACAATAAACACTGCAGTGGCCCTGTTAATCAAAGCCGCCACGGCCATTTAAAAAAATAAAGGCTTGGTTTATTTATCCACTGCGGCTAGGAAAGAGCGGGCGTTTCTGAGGAGGAGCGCAAAACAACTGAAGGAGTCATGATAAACCAGCAGGAGCATGAAATTGTCAATGAATGGACAGGTATTGTTTTAAAGCAGTGCGCTGCAAGCGACTACGAATAATCAAACTAGGTACAGAGGACTTGAGGCACACAGTGTTTATGGAAGTCAGTAAACTTGAAAGAGATTAAAAGGCCAGAACTTTTAAAGCTTATAAATGACAAAAAGTCTTGATAGATATCACATTCTTCAGATAAACTACGAATAAGGTATCGTAACACGCTGTCCTGTCCTGTTGAAACATGTTGGAAAACATCAAGTCTTTGTTCCCCCAGCGTTTAGTAGTTCAGACACCAAAAAAATAGTTTTCACTAGCAGCAGGGGACGCAAACATTTCCAACAAATGACGCAGCAGCCGGAGGATTTCTAAAGTACGTGTAATAATTATTCCTGGAGCCATCCTTCAACATGCATAAGAGCTTGCCATAAATATCTGTCATTGGTGGCATGTGGAAGTGGCAGCGGTGAGCAAACATCTCTCTTGTATAGCTTCATTCAGGCCTGTGAGGCCTAATGAGAGTGGAGAGGGTGAGGTTAGGCCTAACAAGATGACAAATGGAGCGTCTTTTTTCTCCTGTCAGGTGTAGGGGGCCTTTAATGGAGGTTAGGGGAGTCCTGTGGGAGTGTGCGGCTTGGGACATGAGGAGGAGGAGGAGGAGGAGGAGGAGGAGTAGGCGAAAACAAACGAGGCTCTCATTAGCTCCTTTCACAGTGCTGGAGCCACCGGAGGAGAGACACAGGTGCCACTGAATACAAACACAAGCATTCAAGTACAAGTCTGTGCTGAGTCTCTGCAGCTCATTTACAGGATTGTGGGTAAAGTGCCTTCCCTGGTTACTGCTCTAATATGCTAAATGTAAGGTAGTAGTCATTTGGCAGACGCTTTTAAGCCTTGCCAATTTAAACATTCAAGCAGAAAGGACACGAAAGATAACTCGTGCACGCTGTGTAAGACGTTTTGTGTGCGCAAACTTGACATCCAAAGCACATGCCCAGAAAGCCGCGTCTGACAGGGCGTGACGTGAATACAAAATTGAGCTCCCTTTCACGTCTTCTTGCGCTCAAACAGACAATTTCACACAATATTATGTCAAAATGCCCATAGTCGGTTACGTCTTAAGTGAACGTAAACTGTTGAGAAAGAAAATACATGTGTACAGTATCAGCATATTGGATCTGTGCATGATGTCTTAAAAGTGACAGCATCCTAATATTCCTGCTGCTGTCTTTGTTTTTAATGTTAATCAAACAGACTCACTGCAAAAAAAAAAATTACTCAATGCTCTTGACTAAATAACTTTTGTAACTTTAATAATAATTCTATATATAAAGATTCTATATATCTACATTTAATTTATACAGTGAATACTATGCAGTGTTATTTTAGATTTGATTACTTTATTCAATTTCAGTACATAATTTGCCTAATCTGTATCTAACTACTGTTAGATCTACCTGAAAACCCTAAAAAAAACAATGTTTATTTAATTTGTATCTTTGTTCTATTGTGTTTATTTGTGCTATTGCTTGTAGTTTGATTATTTGATCAAATTTTCTTACCGACTGTTCAGTTGACTTTAATAGTGTATGAAAGGTATATTTTATATTATAGTAGAATTTTTTTCATTTGTATTCTTGATTACTAGCCAATGTCTGTAGAGGGTTGCTTTAAGAAAAATATAATGCTTTTCAAAATAAATTATATATAAATAATAAACTTTGTTTTTTCAAATATAAACCTTACATGTCTTGACAGTGTTTGTTAGAACCAACTAGATCTGACGCAACATTTACAAACCTTAAATACTTTTTTCTTCCCACAGTGAAAGCAAAATACAGTGTGAAAATCACAGCCAATAAAAACAAAAACCCTGATAACTATTAAATTAGGTATAAGCAACCAAAAATAAAAGAATAAAAATGTATCAACTTGCACCAAAAAGAATGCAGAGGGAAAAGTAAACAAGTATAGATGGGCCAAAACCTGGAAATTAAAGTCTCTTACCTGCATGGATATCAACATGAAGTCCACTAAGCTTCCAATTCCACAGAACCCCACAGTGCAGAATTTCAGCAGGCCTGGGAATAAACAAAGAGCGATCCACACGTTAACCAGGAACATACTGAAAAGCTTCCCATCATAACCACTTTGTGTCCAAAAACACTTTCTCTCTGGCTTCTCTGTATGACCACAAAGAAAAACAATTTTTTAGGGCAAAGCTATTTAACGCGCACCTATGAAAATGTTTTTTTTTTGTTTTTTTTTATCTTGCATTAGTGCAGGCTGTTTTTGAAGTTTTTAAGCCACTGTGCAAGGCTGTAAGGTCAAATTATAATAATCAGCCAATTCATAGAACTGAATTTTGTGCATTAAAGACTTGCATGCCTTCCAGCAAATAGGTAGGACTGTCAATTAATTTTCATGAGCCAAATTTATAATGCCCACAAAATAAAAAATTTTGGTTTAAATTTAAGTAGTACTTTGGATGTCCATTGAGTGATCATTTGAAACACCATCAGGAGCCCAAGAGATCTGCAGTCAATTAAAAAAAACCCTTCCATCCTGCGATTCAAACATAATTGCTGCTAATCATCCCTAATATTACTTATAATTGGTCATTGAGGGGTTTAGGCATGTTGATTCCAGGACGGCTATCAAAAAAGCCACCTGCAGAATGTCTTCTCAACAAGTCCAGGCCTTCCTTTGAGCTACACCTGGTCTGGACTGACCCCAGAGCTGCTGGGCTATTACGCTCTCAATGAACAAGACTATACAACTGACTCCAGCGCGGTGTGAGTCTGCCTTTCACAAACTCCTGCGCTCCTCGCACAAAGAAGCCAGGAACAAGGGGGACCTTCAAAAGCCCAGGGCCTTTTGTCCTAACGCAGGTGCTTAATTGATCAGGAAGTCCTTAAAACGTGGAGAAAGGCAGAAAGACTGAGCGTCCCGCTGTATCCCGCCTAACCTTGGGATTTAGATGTGCGACTTGAACTCATCTGCATGCGATGACAATAATTGCACCATGGGATAGATAGACGAACACCATGAGATCTGATGGCAAAGAGAACTGTTTTAGTTAATTAGCTGTCGCATGCAGATTCGTTTTGTTAAAACAGTTGGTACCAAATAAAAAGGGTGCTCAAAAAAGGGTCATTGATGGTTTTTTCACATGTTCTGAAAAGCAGAACATGCAAGGACTGATAATGTTGGCCTCACACGTGAACAGCATGTACCTTTTCTTAAAAGCGATCCAAACATGTTTCATGACGTCAATGGTGATTTTTGTCTCAGGAGTTTATTTTCAAAATAGACGTAGATATGTTGGGGATGGTTTATATTGTGGTCAGAGTTCTTCGACAGAAAGGCAGAAAACACTTTAACCACCAGTCTTTGATCAAAATCAAAACTTTAAACAAACATTTTGTGGCCTAGTCCATGTGTGATGGAGGGACTCCCACAAAATTAGTTAAAATCCAGGTCACATGTCTATGGAAGCTTGTTTCTGCTATTTAATACTTTTTTTTTTTAAAGATAATTGTGAATTTTTCTTTCATAATTCTGACTTTTTTTTCTCTCATAATTGCGAGAAATAAACCCACAATTCTGACATCTTTTCTGAGAATTGAGAGATATAAACTCGCAATTGTGAGCTATAAAGTCCAATTCTGAGGAAAAATAAAGACTTTTTTCTCAGAATCTTGCAATTCTGACTTTATAACTCACAACTGCGACTTTATATCACGCAATTTTGATGTAAACTCGCAAAAAAAAAAGTCAGATTTGAGATAACTTTTAAGACAATTTTCTTTTTTATGCGTTTTTTTTTTTGCATTTAGACATTAATTTCATGACAATTACATTTCCCCCCTAAAATTCTCTCCAAATTTATGACCAGATGCTTTAGGTTTTTTTCCGTAAACTGAATCTCATAAATGTAAATGTAGTAATTATTTATTGCACTGTAGTAAAATTCTAATTGATTTTTAATAATATAACTGTGCCCTGCTAAGTCTACCAAACAGATCAGTGTTGTAAGCGTTAACTAAAACTATTAAAACATTTTTGTTAACTGAAATAAAATAGAATATAAATAAACAAAAATGAGAAATTTTGCCTTGGCGACTAACTGAAATAAGTACTAAAATGACTAAGTAAAATAAAATAAAAATACTACTAAAATAAAAATAAACACTAAACTAATAATAATGACAAAATCACAATAAAAAAAAAGTAAAATAAAATAAAACTGAAAATATAAAAGCTAATTCAAAATATTAATCAAATATTTCTATAAATAATAAATAAGTGCTAACTTAAAGTCTGTAATTTTGTATACATCTTATTTGGTATCATTAAACTGTGTAAAAAATATATATATATATATATAATTCAAGATTATATCTGCCACCCTAATCTATAGATTTCATTACCAGGATCAGCCTTTAAAAACACATATTATTCGACCACACTAATACTAATCTGTAATCATATTGGCTACTGGCTATAAATACCATCTTCCTATTATTATTGGTATCAAATCAGATTTCCATGTCAGTGCTGACCATGTCTATATCTCCCTCTTCAAATCAATATTAGTGCAATAAAAAGATCAAGATCGGTGCAAGAAAATCAGTCTGTGATTCTCACTCTCAGAGAACATCTGACGAAAAGGTGTGTCCTTGGAAAGGAGGCAAGAGATGATGTCAACAGCAGAACATCCAGGACTGATTCTGTCTGTTCTGAAGGTCCCTTGTGTTACAGCGCAGCACTCGCACAAGATATTTTCATGCAGGTATGTGCCTGATAATGGCTTCAAAACGAATAACTGCAGAATAATAGAAAAATATTGGGCTGACAGTCACTCCTCCTGTTTGCTGGATAACACGTGAGCCAGGGGAAAGCACAATATTATTCATAAACAATACAGATATAAATAATTTTGAGATTGTTACTGATACAGAACAGATAAAAAATATATGTTCTGCTGCACACTCCTATTTTCATGAGTTACTGAAGGGTAAATGGGTGCCAGAAAGAGGTGATTTCGGGGCAACGGCACTCAGCCAAAGAGAAAAAATGCAATGTTGGATCCATAGCCTAGTGACCTACACATTTAGCCAACAGTAAAGACGGTAGTTTCTTACCTAAGGCCGGGTATCCCAAGTAGAACCGATCCGCCCCAATCCATCCCAGGAAGAGTGACAGAGCAACAGCCACTTTGTATGAGTAACCACTCCTAATGTAAGACAAAACAATAGATATTAACAAAAATGTTTTAAAATACATACTTAATGTAAGGCCATGTCATGAAGGTAAAGTTTGACTTACACATTTCGACATGGGACGCTTTTGTTGAACCCAACCTCTTCACCGCTGAATTTGAACTGTGTTCCATTTGACAGCCGACAGCTGATGTTTGGAGCAGGAAGGCATTCCACTGAAATGACAACACAGCCTTAGATTCCTCGTTTAATATACCACAAGTCATAACTGGTGTCAGGCATATTCTGGCAATTATAGAGCCATTTATTTGTTATTATAATAATACTATATATAGTATAATATATTATATACTGTTCAAATGAAACAATATATACTGTGTGTATATATATATATATATATATATATATATATATATATATATATATATATATATATATATATATATATATATAAATATAATTTAAATTTAATAATATAACTTATTCATAATACATTATTTTATACAATTATATAATTTTAATATATTATTTATAAAATGTATATTAAATGCTACATTGATACACGTTTTGTAATACAATATATATATATATATATATATATATATATATATATATATATATTACGTTATGTAATTATATAATAATCAATATATTATCAAATATATATTTACATCAAAAATACATATACTAACACACATAACATTATACATTACATATTATTTTTTAAAAATAAAATATGTATGATACATTGTTTATATATTATCTTTATACATTATATTATACTCTACACTTATATACAGTATATTAATATATTATGTATGTTACAATAAATTATGAATAATAAATATTTCATATTATACATTACATATAATGCATAAAATACTCAAATAAAATATTTGTTATACATTATTTAATACTTTGTTATTATATATATCTATAGATCTATATATATATATATATATATATATATATATATACAGCTTGTTGTGTATATATATATATATATATATATATATATATATATAACATCAATGTAATATATTATGTATATATTACAATAAATTATGCATAATAAATATTTCATTATAATATGTCAAAGAACATAAAAGCATTTTAAATAGTGAAACATGATAAAAGCAGACCCACCCCAGGCCAACCGGTCCTTGCAGTTTTCTGGCTCTTGAGTTGCATCATCTATTTTGGGTTCTTTACACAGATATCTAAGCAGTGTTAAGGAGGAATCAAATGGTATTTAAATCTTAAAGCAACATTAGTGATGCTGATTTCCAAAAGCCAATTCAAGTCACCTTTATCTATAGTGCTCAACACAATACAGATTATTTCAAAGCAGCTTCACAATAATAAACAGGAAAACAGCAATCAGTGATCGAATATGAGTGACATGAGCCATCATAGACAGGGCGAGCATGATCACGTCGTTCATTATTATGTCCGTTTAACACACAGAATGTAATTCATTTACGCATATGTATAATAAAAACACATCTGAAATATTCCAAAAGGTCTAACGTTAAACAGAGCAAACAGATAAATGCTATTTAGGATATTTATAACGATCTATATCACTCTACACTATTAAATCACAGATCTAAACACCAAATTGGTATAATTGCACCGTAATTATGTAAAATAATGACTTATTTGTAAAATTAGCACATTTATGTTATGAACAACCATCAGTTGCAGCCACAATGCTAGCTAGCAGCCTACTACTAATTCAACGATCCCAATATATAAGGCGATTTTGAAAGGATATTGTCCCAACTGCAGTTTATCACAGTTGTCCACATCACTCCCCAGGCTGTGGATGACAGTCAGGCAGAAGGTGAAGATGATCAGCGGCCGTGTTGATGAACGAAAGCGCATCAAACTCCTCCAGTGTAACGCCATGTTGAACGGTCACGTGACTGCTGGGGCTCTTAAAGAAACAGTGCACAAGATTCGCCGCGGACATAGCAAGTAAGTCTCTCAGAATTCTCTTATTTAACGCCTTTTACTTTATACATATACTTAGTAAAGCTGGATTGGTCTGTATAGCAAGTTTGCACGCAAAACCAAGTATCGGTTAAACTTATTCACGGTGTTTAATGCTAATAATCAACTTTATAACCGGCTAACTGCGCTAGCCTGTGTCACAATAATGGGGGTTTGTATTGAGAAGCAGGAGCATGTTTGTGTATTATGTTGTTTGTCATTCTTTTTAAGTTATGGTTAAAATTTTAAAACAAAGCACTTTTCGATTGATAGAATGAATCTTTAACGTATTATTTACACTGTCACGAAGTTTTCAGCACTGATTTCAGTGATGACTCAGTGTTTTACGAGTATGCACCTGTTTGATTCCGTTTATATCATTAATTATATTATATGATATAATATAAATAATGCTTTAATTAGACTTAGATTAGAATTAGAATAAACACATCTTTACCCTTCAGTTACATAATGGTTTCGTTGTTATCTTGTGTTTAACATAAATAAAGTTCACTGAAACTTGAATGATCACGCACTTCCTGGTTTCAGGTGAGGCTCGCGCAGGTGTAAACGCACACGTACAGACAAAACAGCCCTAAACAACACTTGAAATGCTGGATTGTGTTTTATGAGAGAGTCTAAATCGACAGAGATTTAGGTGAACCTCAAGAGCAAGTGTATATGGACATTGTTGGTAAGTAAGATAAATAGCCTATTCTCACTTTTGCTTTGATGGCTGGTCACGTGAACAGAAACTGCTGTCTGATAGTATAAAGGATATTGTTATAGGTTAAAATGCCTTGATTTATCTTTGATCATATGAAAATAAACACATGATATCAGCATACACTTTGAATGAGAACCATCCCAGGGTTCCCACTGTTATAGAAAGTGAGAAATATGAAAAAAATAATGTATTTATGTAAATTTCAGTAGTGTATATACATATTTTTTGGCTATGCTAAATTATTTATACACACACACTACTAGTCCTGTCAAATTGATTAATTACGATTAATCGCATCTGACAAAAAGTTTGTGTGTGTGTGCATATATATATATATATATATATATATATATATATACATATAATGTATATATATATTCCACATACACACACACATACAGTATAGTATATCGTTGTTAGATGCGATTACTTGTTATTAATATATTTGACTGCACTAATATATATATATTTGTCTACATAACAAATTTGATAATTTACAGTGTTTGATCAGTCTTATCCATTAAATTATGATTATGATCATTATTATATTTGTGCAAGGACATAGACATTTAAGATCAAACTGAAGCTCAAAAATGTACAAATATCCATTTTCATCCACTTTTACAGATCAATCTGCACTGAATTATCGAGAGAACGACAATGTATGAGAACTTACCGACAGGTATCAGTAATTGTAATTTTCATCCACGCAAGAGCATGTTCTGTGTTTAATCCTTCTTTGCATGGTTAATATCTTGACTGTGTGTGTTCTCAGTGTCTGCTTCCGAGCGGCAGCAGGTGCTCCAGGCCTTAGAAAGGCTGCAGTCCAAGCTGGTGCAGAGAGAAGAGTGGACCCACAGCGACAGGCTCGGCACGCTGAAGGAAGCCCTGCAGAGCCCTCTGTTCGGCCACATCCTCACCCTGCAACACTCCGTCAAACAGCTGAAAGACCAGGTCAGACTTGCACAACATACATTAGCGTATAATGTATGGCCACAGCTCCAAGGCCACAAACTACTTGTATATTTGTGTCTGTATATTTGCCGTTTAAAGGAACTACTGTCAAGATTTCAGTGGTGTAAAGTATTTGAGTAAGGCCTTGTCCCAAATGGATCCCTAAGCCCTTGTGATCTTCTTCTGAGTCCACACTTTCATAACGTAATGTCGCTTTGACGGTGGGGTAGAAGTCCACTGCAGAGCTCGTGGGCTTTGGTAAAGTGTGTATCGAGGGCACATATCAGCACCCTTCTGAAACCTAAAATGTCAAATGGGACACCCTACATACCGAGACTGGGTCTAAATGGAATTAGTAACTGTACATAAGTATCTTTTTGGCTACTTTGTAGTTTTACTGAGTATCAAAGATATTAGCAACTCTCTGCTTGACTACATTTTTGAATAAGTATATGTACTCTTTACTCCAATACATTTGTAATGAGTAATGCGATTAGTTACATTTTGCATGCCACTTAACTTTTTCTGCAGCAGTTTATTTCTGCTACAAAACAAGCGCCATCTACAGGGCATTGAAGGTACTACATCTCGTGCGTTTTGCCCTTATGCTGGGTACACACCAAAAGATAATCGGGCTGATTTTGGGCCGATTTTCCCCCTTCCGACAATCCTAGCTATCTCCCGATTATCTTGATGGTTCTACAGATTATCTTATCAGATTTTCCCTTGGTGTGAGGTGTGTTAAGAGTGTCCGAACCTGCTCGGAAGAACGTCGGAGCCGCCCCGATCGCGAATCGTAAATATTCAACATGTTGAATATTTACGATCAGAAATCCTGATGTGTGGGGGGAACCCCCGATGACAAACGTGCGCACGCTCTGGAGATTATCACGTGAAACGAAAAAATATCCAATCAGAAAGCGAGATGATGGAAGACGGAAGCATAACAAACGCAGTCATGGCGTTGCAAAAAGTTAAATTGATGTGGACAGCAGAGATGGAGGATCAGCTTGTTGATTTGTGGCAACAGCACGAATGTTTTTCTGTGAAAATCATTCCAAACACTATCATCGCAATTTCTTCCTGCATATCGTCCGCCAAGCTTATTCTGAAGTCTCGCGAGATTTTGTGAGATTTCCTTTGTTCACAGTCGAGACTCTGGTTGAAAATCTGTTCGTGTGTGGTGTGCTGTCTTTGTCACATCATGGCACACCACACACTATAGGAGCAAAACGCTTAAATCTAGGATTTTTTGTCCTCATGTTTGTGGTCTATCACATTTTGAAAATCTTGTAAGATGTAAAAAATCTTTTGGTGTGTACCCAGCATTACCCAAACTTGTCAACAAGGCTACTTTGCGAATGTGAGTGCATTAGCAGGTTGTTGTGAATCACAGATGAGGACACAAGAGTTTACCTTTCAGACGCAAAATTTATGGGAGGAGAGTATGTAAATAAATCACACAACATGATTTACTAAGGTTTGCGATAGTCAATTTACGGGCATTTACACGACTTTTGACTCACTTTTTATGAGTTTTGACCGTTCATTTACACGACAAACATTTAAAAATGTGTTTTTTGAAAACGATACTGTTATCGTCTCTGTGAAAACTACAAAAACGTGAATTCGTGAAAACGGTGACGTCATGTGTATCACGTGTTCAGTCTATAGGCGCATGTGTTTCTTTATAAAGTGACATCGCCAACTACTGGCCTGGCAGCAGAATACAGTATCTCAGTTGTTTTCGCAGATCCGTGTGAACTGTGATCGTTTTGACAATGTTGTCGTCTGTATGCGAAACTTCAAAAGCACAAAGGACTTGCTACTAGATGTTTTCTGAACATATCGTTATTATCAAGCCACATTATTTTTAATTTGCTGTGCCTGTATTAGTAATCACTTTCACCTGATTATAAACCGCTCTGCTTGTTTGTGACCCTACGCTATTTTGCCCTGCTCTTGGTAGATTCTATTGGTCAATTATGGAAATGAGCTGCTGCGTCTTTGTTCTTCATTTTGCGCATCAGTATTATTATAAAAAGTTAAATGCATTACTTATGTTTCAGTTCATTAAAATTGTAAAGAATCTCCAAGATCAGATAAAATAGCAGTTTTAATTAGGGCTGTCAAATGATTAATCACGATTAATCACATCCAAAATAAAAGTTTTTTTTACATAATATATGTGGGTGCACTGTGTATAATTATTTTGTATATATATAAATACACACATATGCATGTATATTTAAGAAAAAAATATTATTTATAGCCTATATAAAATATTTATATTTATATATAATATAAATTATATATAAACAGTATATACATGAAAATATTTCTTAAATATATACAAGCATGTGTGTGTATTTATATATATATATATAAAATAATTATACACAGTGCACCCACATATATTATGTAAAAAAAACTTTTATTTTGGATGTGATTAATCACGATTAATCATTTGACAGCCCTAGTTTTAATGCGTATTCATGATGCCAAATCAGGCTAGACCTCACATTATTTATTTAGATTCAAATAAGTTTTAAAAAACAACGTTTATTTTGCATCCATCCCAGAGTGCAGGCCGGTGACCATGTGTTTCTTTACCACATACTCGGCATGCTGAAAGTCCCTCGTCCCTATTTGTATTCAGTCTGAGTTTTTATTGACACAAGAAACCTCTTTACAATAAACAATCCGCACACCAAATTAAGATAATGGCAATAACGGAAGCTCGCCTTCATATTCTAAGTGCTGGGAAGGTCAGACGTGCGCCTATGAATGCGTCAGGTGAAAAACCTATCAAGTATGTCGAGGCGGGCAACAGTCGGAGTTTCTATCAAGCCTTAATATCCACTGTCTCAGTTTGAGTAACTGCCTTGTCGGAGATGTATCGATGAAATAGGCTGCAACCTGCTCTGTCAGCCCGGACTAAATAAGCACAAGACTGATAAGTTCCCACAGTAAGAGTCTAAAGGTCATTAATACATTACCTGTTGGGGACTAGCGAATACTGCAGAGGAATCTATTGATTTTTCCACCTTTTATTTTTTCCTTCCTTTCCTCTGCCTGTAGGACATGGCTGCTCCTCTGAGGGTTGTTATCTTTGGGATGAACAGTAATATATATAAATATTTTTGAAACATTTTTATTACAACTCATCCATTAATAAAAATAATTATAATTAGTAGTTTAATTGTGCCTGTTTATGAATTTGTTTGGAATATATTTTTTATAATAATAACAATACAACTGTA